ATTAATGGTCGTTTGAAACTGTCATGATTCTGGGAAGCTAACTTCATCATATTTAATTGTTCTATTAGTAGCTATATTTGAAGTCAATAGATTAGATTCTATTATTGTGGACCTATCTAAATGTTTCATATTATTCAGAATATTTTGACAAAAAGTATTCATAACTTTAAAATGAATTCGATAAATTATTATGATTGTTTCAGATGCATGTAAAATTTCTTACTCATGTAATTTAATTTGTATTTTAGCTTCATTAAAGAGATTTATGTCTGTAATTTAATTTGTATTTTAGCTTCATTAAAGAGATTTATGTCTGTAACTGACAAACTTAGATTTTAAAAAATGTTGAAGAAAACTGATTCATGACATAAATTGGTTTCCATAACACCCATCAATGCTTGCGCCCAATTAAAGCATCTTGCATCTCTTAAGCAGACTAAAATTGAAGTGTTTAATCCTACTAATTTAAGAGGTTTAAATGATACTTGAATTAAGCCAATGTGAATACATTTATAATTTTCTAAATAATTATTTAAATCTTCTTGATTTAATAGAAAATTTATTTTTCTTGTTCATCTATTGTTAAAGATTGTTCTACACTTTTGATTGACGATTTACCTTTGAAATCAAAGGTTCCAATTTAATATATAAAAGCCTTTTCCAATTTATGAATAGTCCATTTATTTAAGTCATCTTAACTTGCATAATATTCTTGCAACTCTGCAATTTTAATATTATTATTTCTCGATTATGATCTTTGTAAATTCAAAGATATTATGCTACTATGGTACCGTGAAGAGATGCTCATGAAGGCAACCCGATAAACATCTATAACTCTTTTTTGTTAAATAAGTTTAATAAGGTAAACTAACAACTAGATGAAGAGCAGCTCGTGGCTCCTTACGTGTTAAAAGTTAAAAAAAGGGTACAAAAATGAGGGATAGTGAAACTCACCTCTAAACCGCAAAACATTAATAAGACTAGTAACAAAACAGACTAGTAACAAAACAACAAAACCTAGGGGTTCCACTGTCCACATTACGACACTATATATAAACACCTCTAAACCTTTTTTGAAAATATTTTTAGCCTGGGGATTGTTTATTTTGCTAAAAATATAATGCATTGTAAAATAAATTCAATGTATTTAAAATATTTTAGAGTAGCTTAATTCAATGTAAAATAAATTTATGTGTTTATATTTTTTTTATTTGAATTAAAGAAAAATGAAATCAAGATAAAACAAGAGGACAATCAACGACCGCAACCAACGAGGGATAGTGCTGGCAATTAGCAAGCAGGGAACAAATAGAAGGTGGCGGCCTGGAGGAAGCCTGCAAGGCCAATGGCTGGAGTGTTCTATGACTTTCAAGCAACAGTTGCCTGCCAACTACAGGCAATGACCAACCAACAAAGTTTCACTCTAGCAAAATTTGAAATTCACTCAAAATCAGATGAATTCCAAATACATTGAAAGAGAATTCCATGTAAATTTCAAATACTTAAAATTTATACTCTACATTCTGGTTTCCTCAAACCAAACACAAAGTAAAATAAATGCATATATTCTTTTTTACTTTACACCCATTTTTCACAAAACAAAGCAACCCCTAAACTAGTCTTCCTAATGTCCTCCAACATCAAATAGATGCAATGAGCAATGCACATTGTCCACAACATGCATGCCGGCTTCTGCATAAACATTTGACCTCCAACTTAAGATGTGCCTCAATAAGCTCAAAATATAAATGAATGTTTAAATACTATTAGTTACTGACCAAGAATATAACAAGTAATTATCTGTAATCACTTAGCAAGCAGTCTCCTCTCTAAAATTCGATATATGTGCATCAAAAATTTAAGTAATAAGATGCATCTATGAACCACAATAATATTACATCAGATGGTGTATTAGCCAAGATAATTATAAAAGAATGTTGAATACAATAACTCCACCCATCCGATAAAATGATCCATCCCTTCACTTCTCAAAATTTTGGAAATTCCATATCTTTAATAATCAACTGTATTCCAGTGCTTTTTGTAATAGCATCGACCATATGATCAAAACTGTCCACTTTACAGAAGTGACAAAGATGTCTCATTCATAGAATCACTGAATTATATATTTTGACATTGAAATAATCACTCTCATGTATGATTTTCCGCTGACTCTACAATAACTTGAACTAAATTCTCCTCAACTTCTTCAATAAGCTCATCAAACTTTTTAAATAATTGTGCAATTTTTACAGAAGCTGATGCAAAATTTCAAAAATATAAACTCATAAGAGTTGCTGATAAGAACATTTTCGTCTGATATATGACCATCGGCATTATTATACCACTTATCTCAACCATATCTTCTTCACTTCATCAACCATTCTTATTAATGTTCTTACATCCTCATCCAAAATCCAAGTTTGTAGCTCATACATGCTAGGAACACAAATCATCAACCATAATTACTAACATAGTGAAGCATATTGATCCATAAAAAACTCATAATCACATTAAAAGAAATTTCACTCATAAAAGCATCTTGGAATATCTAAACATATTATATTTCTATGTTATTTACAAAAGCAGAAGGACGAATTCTTTTAGAGTTGATTTTCTCATCTCCAACCAGAATTGTAACAAATCAATCAATTGGTGCTCAAGTTCCTCTCTCAAAAGAGATCAAATGATTTACACTCCTCGAGCCAAAATATTGAGAACCAAAATAAAGATTACTCTCAAATATCTCTTTCATATTTATTTACGATGTTTCATTTGAGGTGCATATTTTTTAAAATATTCACCACATTCCTTCTTGACTACATCTAGCACTACATGCTCTAATTTTTACATGTGCAAGCTATGTAATATTTAAGTCTTAACACCACCATTAATTCTCTCATTACAAATTATATTTTAAATCCCTTCTTTGCACCTTATCCTCGAATCGAATCTCATATTTTCAAGTTGGATCTTTTCTTCTTACTGCACCACTCATTCTAATTAAAAAAATAACGATAACACAATTTAATAAAAAGATGAAAAACGTAATAGCATAGTTATGGAATCAGAAAATCACATATAAGATAAAAAAAACTACGAATGAATATTCATAAAATGTACATGCGAAACTCCTATAACCGGACCAATGCCTCATGGCACTTGTTAGACATATTCAAATCAATGAAAAAATAATGACATTCATAGTCAATAACAATGAGTAATGATAAAAGTCATGAGACTAATGAGGATGATGATAACTAAACTCAATTAAAATAGATTTACTAAATCTAACTTTTGGAGATCATAAAAACACCCAAACAACCCCCAAAGAATATGTTGCTTCACTACAAAAATTTCATTATTTTTCACAAGAGAAAGGTCCGCATCAATAACTAATGAAAAACACTAAGCTTAGTCATGCTCCAAGAAGAGACGCGCATAAAAAATATCAATAGCATTCTAAAGAAAAAAGAATTCAAATGAATAACATATAGAAAAGGCTGCAGCATAAGGACTGATCAAAGAAACCTCCACAACATATATCAACAAGTTTAAACCAATCTTTATCAAGTTATCATCGAACTTAATGCTTTAAAGAATAATTGAACAAAAGCAAAATTAATTGAGTTAATGATAAACTCAATTCAAACAATCATTGAAATAAACTTGACCATTTCAGTAAGTTTATCACATCTAACTGATGCAATTGTCCAAAAAATTAATAAAATAATGATTTCAAATAGACGTGGGATCAACACTGAAACCGTTTAATCGAACCAAATAATAATGCTTTATCCAACAGGTGGTTAGAAACAAATATTAATGACATCATTAACATTAAAAAATTATTACTTATACCATAAATCTTTAAAAAAATAAATTTATATTTAAGCATCAAACTTCACGGGAAGCTCATCGCAAAGAAGAGCAAGTCTCAAGTCAACAGAGGAGAAAACGAACCTATATCGAGGCACAGTGGCAGATTAATGCTGCAACACTTCGCAAAAGGGCTCAAGTGGGGTCTTCAACGCTCGACAGAGGGAGGAACTGAAGTTGTAACACACGAACAAACTTAGGACGACTCAATAAAGACAGTAGCGAAATGGAAGCTATGACACTCAAAAAACTCAAGACAATACTCGACAGAGAACAAACCCCAACTCATTTGATGGTCATTGTGTATCATGCATGGATGGGTGTATATTGTACAAGGTATAACATTAAATTACTTATATAACTAATATAAACAAATAAATTAATTTAATTAAGAAAATGAGACCTTGCCTCAAACACTTCAATGCATACGTCTCGTTGCAAAAAGGCGCAAGCCTTGCTTGCACCAATGAGGTGTAAGGCTCTAGGAGCTCATGTGCATCGTTTGGAGGTGTGCCATAAGGCGCACAGCTCGAACTCGTTTTCAAAAGTTTGAGTAAATTTGTACTAGAATAACGATATATGGTCTATCGAGAAAGTGGTGGAAGTAGTTTTCACTACCATGTGGCTAGCATCAAGTTCCTAGGCTCAATCTAAAAGGTCACAAATGCTACAATCTGCTCGATCAAGGGGAAAAAGGGTTATTGTGTATCGAGGAACGCTCGAACGAGATAAAGAACTCACCAAAATTTATCAATAAAGACAGATGTGTGATCAAATAGAGCTAAGCTAAGCCAAAATTGTTGTGCTTCATGCTAGAGGGTGAAAAATAAATGTAGGTGTCAAATTCTGCTTCGAATTAGATGATCACCTCATAACATTCTTTTGAAAACATTGAATGTGACTTAAGCTTATGCCATGTAAAATGTCTCACCCCACGCCTCTTTTGAAACCTCTCAGTATACGCATGCACTAATTCCAACCAAACAATTCTTTACCCAAGGTCATTAGAAAATTCATGCCAACAAAATCACTCCAATAAACAGCTTAAATCACATATAATGAAAACAATCAAAATACTACTCAGGTTAGCTCCAAATAGTTACTTGACTCTTATACATTCATTTCTGTTTAACAATAAATATATATTGATTGGAAAAAAAGTGTATCCAAAGATTCAGAATTAAAATCAAATAAAGTACACCATCGTTATTGTGTTAGCATTGCTGGACATTAAATTATAAAAAAGATCGATTTCCATGGTCCTATCCCACAGTGATAGCTGCACGATATTTGAACTCACAGGACCACAAAATCTAATTTGGAGCTAAGTACCTCTCTCCACCATGCCAAAGAACTCTCGAAATCTTGTAAGAAACTATGAGAAAAGTGGATCAAATTTAAAAAATCGCTTCAAAGTTAACATATGCATATTTTGACACTTTTCTTTCCATCCTACACCATAGCTCATGTTTTATAATGACCTTATTCCTGAAATCCATCCAATCATTAATTCTAGAATTGCTTTGTATGAAAGCTGTACAAGTTACATCATTTATCTTGAGACTCATACCACCCCATGTCGAACATCTGTCATTTATATTGCGAACTAATTAATACTTTTGAGCAAGTTCAGCTTTAGAAAATGAACAGCATTTGTAACAACTATATAATAAGTGGGGAGGTTGAGCGTTCTGTAGTTAAAGATTGTAAAAAATGTCAACTCCCAACTCTAAATGTAACTTTCAGATGCAAAACAGAAGCAATTAAGAACACACAACATTTGCTTCTGCATTCCAGAATCCAAACAATTACTTTGTACGGATCATAATCAGCTAAAGACCAAGTAGTGATAATTCTTCTACTTAATTGCACCTTTAACACATCTCACAGGTGTGACAAACTTGCAATTCACAAGTTCCTAGTTGTGAAAAAAATTGTCTGTATCCAACCATCAGAACAAAAAGTATAATATGCTGAGCTTCATATATGCCTCCAAAACCTTTCAAAACTAACAAGAAGAACAAAGCCAGTGTCCAATGTTCTGGCCAAAAATACCAAAAATCCTTTGGGGTTCAACAATAGCAATGCACATACTATCCAAGTAAATCAAACTTTTCCTTAAAAATCTGACATTGCTATCAATATCACAAGTTAAGTATTATCAGATAAGTTGCTCACGAGTGAAAAAACTTTAAACATAAAGCTTATTGTCCACCTTCATGAAGATCTTTGCAGGAAAAGAGAGAACGCGCAATACCACCTTAGTAGCATTCACTTTCACTTCAGATTCCCTTATAAATAATTGCAAAGCAAATGCCTATAACTCTTAACATTCTGAAGCATCCAGCATCTCAATGCTTTATTGCCAGACATTTACCTCATAGAAAAACTTAAAACATGGCTCACTGTCCATCATGTGGAGATCTTAGCAGGAATATAAATAATACGCAATGCAATACATTACCATATTTGTCTCTTGATCTAGTAAACTGAAAAACTTAGGTATCCATACAAACATAACGAAGTATCCAAGAAATCCTCATTAAAAGATCTCCACATATTAAAGTTTAAAGTCCTCAAGTCCAAGATGCTTCTCAGTGGAAGCAAATTCTGCAAGCTTGTAATAACACACTAATTCCATTTGTGCAAGCACCACATCCAGAATCTTCAAACTTGTCCAGCCAACACCATCCTTCAGATGTAAAATCTGTGTCAAGACAAACCCATGTGATCATGAAAACCCCATATGCACCAAAGTTCTGCTACTTATAGCATCATGACACCTCTGAAAGTGTGACTTGCAACAATAGTCTACAGTTAGCTATAGCAGTAATATGATAAATTCATGCATACAGACAAGCGCATAAGAAAACAGAGTAACAAAAGTTTTAAGTTTGTGCACCTCAGTAGTATGATCCAGAGCCACTACCACGCAAATAACCACTGCCACTCAAGCTACGACCAGAGTACATGGATGAGTAAGAGCCGCCTCCAACCTAAAAAGCAGGCAATAATATGTAGGTGAGGGGTTTATATCAGAAAGGTTTAATAACGAAATGAGAAATTCAGTGGGTTTACATCAGAACCACGAGATAGATAACTGCTGCCGTAGTTTGATGATGAGTACAGCCCATCAACATCACTCCCACCTACAGAGTCTATATAAAAATGCAAGCAGTTGAGTAAATAAAATAGCTTAGCTAAATCATAACGCAAGAATTTTGTAGAAGTGAACCACTACTGTAGCCCATTCCATGGCGGCCTCCATATAGCCCATGAGAATCACGTCCAGAGATAGAGCTGCGGCTATTGCCATATCCTATATGAGAACGTCCCAGCCTGTAAAGCATACAATATGAGAGAATTTGCATATGTAACATATTATAACAAAAATTGAAAGCCAAATCACCCAAGTTAGAATTAAGACCTTTCACCGTAGCTATCTTCATACTGAGCAGAACCACCACTACTACCATAATCTAACCTTGCCCTTGATTGCCTCATGCTTACATCCGCATAACGAGGGTGTGTGTCATCCTTGTACAATATAATGCTTCAAGATTATTAAACTGTCTAAAAAGAGAAAAACATATAAAAAAGAAAAAATGGTAAATGAGTAGCCACCAGCGCTGAATACGGACGCTTGGATCCAGAAATAGAGTCATAATCTCGGCTACGTCCCTCTCTATAAGATGGAAGAGTTCTTTCAAGCTTTCGGCCATATCCCTCATCAACATAGGATCTTCTTTCAGCTGAACGGGGCAAAGTACGAGGAGGGATGTCCGAGTATCCTCCACCCCTAGAATAATCATCTTCGTAGGAGGACCGCCTATCAGTAGGAATCCTTGGCCCATATTCGGCAATGTTTCTACTTCTGTGGGTAAGTTCATCACGCCTATCATAGTCCCTCTTGGAAAGGTGGCTTTTAGGGTAGACTGGAACTGTTTTCATAAATAGAGTAACAGCTCTTTTAGTTCCATTAAGATTGAAATTTAAGATTGACACAAGATAAATTGTAAAAGAATAGCAACACATACTTGGTGGTCTACGACCATAGGACCTCTCCGGCGGGGGCAAATGTCTTGCTCGTTCTGAAAATGCTGGTACAGCTCTTCTATCTCTCAATCCTATAGTTCTCTTTGGTCCACGGCCACCAATAGAAGCACCACGAACACTAACTGGTGCCCCGCGTCCAATACTTCCCCTAGATGCTCGTAAAGGTAACCTACGAGCAGTGGAATTGCTCCACGATGCACGAGGGACATGGCTAATCCTAAAATCCCCTCGAGAAACACGCTTTCCTCGACCTCTTTGAAGGGGCCGTGATAATCTAGCTCTGACCTTCACCTAAAAAAATGATTGTATACAAAAACAAGCTTTCAATAAGCATGCGGTCATACATACATATATATTTAAAATGCAAGACAAACCTTGTTATCTCCTTCACCAAGCTCTACATTGTTAATTCCTTCAGCACATGACACAGCAGCTTCATGCAAATCAAAAGTAACAAATCCAAAATCCTTTCTCTTGGCAGCTGGCATGTTACGTGCAAGCTCAACTTTCTCAATCTTACCAAATTTCTTAACATGTTCTTTGACTCGTTCTTCATCCCATGCAGGAGGAATTCCATCAAGAAAAACAGTTTTTACCTGAAATAAAAGTCCTTAAAATCTTTTCAAAAGTTGTTCTTCATTAACTTTGATTTCATAACTGAAAGTGTAGAAATTAAAGCTTCATAGATCCAGCGTGATATCATAGCATATAGACAAAATCATTACACGTTGCAAAAAATAGTAGTTAAAACAACTGCATAGATTGATTCTCAGAGGAAAAAAAAATAGAAGATCCCGAAACAAGATAATAGGACTGAACATAATATCCTAACTTTCCTGATATATATCATGACTGAAGAACATAACTTAGCTAAAGTACCTGTGACATAATCTCATCATCAGGTTCAATAAATGAATCAGCAAAAGCAACCTTCGCGGATCGATCAACTCCAAGCACAACATCCCTCTTTTGCAATCGCCTATAAGCATCCATGGCATCGGAACGAGAAGAGAATTCCAGGAAAGCAAACCCACGATTCATCCCATCATTACTAGCATCTTCGACCAACATCAAATCTTCAATGTTATTTATCCCAAAACTCTTTAACTTCTCCTTCAACTGAAGCATATTGCAAATAATTAAAATAATGAGAACATAAACTGGTACTATATGAACAAAAAAAATCAAGGAAAAAGATTAAGCGTTCTTACATGTTCCTTTGTCCAAGTCTTGCAGATATTTCCCAGAAAAAGTGTGTCACTGTCTTGACTTTGGGCAACACCACATTGTTTACCATTTATCTGAACCATTGAAGCACTAAAATTATATTCACTGTGAAATGCAAAATTTATAATGATAAAAAAGGTTTTTCATTAGCAGATCACATACAACTGGATTCTTGAGTTCTGTAACAGCACGCTTTGCTTGTTCCACAGTTGCAAAACGCAGGAATGCAAAACCTTTGTTCTTCTTGGTGTGAGGATTCATTAGAAGCCTGATCTCCGTGATCTCACCAACTTCATCAAAGACTTTTCGAAGGTCATCTTCTGTGGCATCCTTGTCCAAGCCTCCAACAAAAACTTCAAACTCTTTCCGCTTGCGTCGCTCTTTGACTATATCATGATGCTCTTCCTCCTCTCCATCGACCTCATGTTCTTCCTCAACATTTTCATGGTCCTCTTCATCCTCGACATCTTCTCCACCATCCTCAATCTCCTCAACAACCATATCACCTTCTTCCTCTTCAAGCGCATCAGCTTCTTCAACTTCCTCTTCACCTTCATCCACCTCTTGGACATCATCATCAATCATTCTCTCATCATAGTCAACAGTTGCTTCCTCTTCATATTCTGGCTCATTGTCATCCAATTCTAGGCGCTCACCTTTATCTTCCTCCTCAGATATATCCTTTAGAACCTCTTCTATATAAAGCAGGAATTCACAAAATTTCAACTTTACATGCACAAAAGTTCAAATAAAGACAGTATCAAGCAGGAAGTGCCCAGCGTCATAATAAATGAATGGCTAAGAAAAACATAAATTCAACAAAAAAATAGAAAATAATGAAAAATTCCTGTTTATGGACTCAAAAATGTTGGGAAAAGAAATAAAAGAAAAAAGACATGTATATGCATGAAATAATCGTGCAAACAAATTGTTTAATCATGAGAGAACATCATACAAATGTGCAGTGAATCAAATGTTATTCCACTAAATAAATGAATATTAAAAGAAAACTGACACCAAGCCACTTTACATGGTAACAGTGCTTCATGGACATCCCTTGAATCAAGAAATAAATTCAAATAATATGAAGTATATTTATCCAATCAAAGAAAAAATAAAAATGATTTGATTCAAGGTGTAGCATTGAACCCAAAAAGTGTAGGACATGAGGATTCAAGTAAAAGAAAAGTCTCAAAAATCATAGGATGGACCCAGGACCTATTATAATGAAAGATTAGATATTACATAAAAGAATGAAATGAAGCCCAAAACCCAAACCCTAATCAGTTCACCATCATAAAAAAGTTTTCCCACAAAAGAATTCAATAGCTAAGAGCATGCAAACTGAGATTCTTAAACTAAAATAAGAAATTTTTCAGAATGAATTACAAGCTAAAATTTTAAATGATGAATCATAGCACCCATATATCAAAAATAACACCAAGCAATAAGTAGTCTTTTTTCCCTCAAGTGAATCTTTTCATACCGACATCTCTTGCATTGCATGGTTTTCCGCTAATTTTCAATATATTTGAAAGTACCTATTACTAAAGTAATTTGAAAAATTATTTTCAGTTACAAACCAATAGCTAATTGTTCTTGTAAGAAACATTCTCTTATTCCATTTCAATTATGCTAAAAAGACAACAATTGGAGGACTAATATATTTCAATGCTTGTGTTAAAGGACCCAAGTCATATCGAGGTACAAAGTTGAATCAAGTCTTAAAAAGGAAGAAATAAATATCAAACAAGCTCAAACTAGTCTAGCGTCATAAGTCACATATCACGAGTCGGCTCAAATCATAAATTGTTGAACTCCCTAGAAAGTAACTTAACACATTATAGCCCAAACCTCATTATTCAATTATCACGCTCAACTAATGATCAAGGGTGCTTGACATATAACCAATTCTAATTACTTGAACACAGTACTTGTCTCATAAATTAATTCATACCTCAATTAATGTTCCACAAAAGCACTCATAATAAATAGATGAATACTCAAATAACTCATTCTGCCGTTTTTTATATCATGATAAGCTTTAATATACTTAACTTTTACAATAAATTCAAATAATCAAAATTTAAGTAAATGCTACAGCAAAAGAATTCTCTAATTTGAAGGATAACAGTTGATCGTGTTTGTTACATCTAATTAGCCAAGAAAAACAGACATTTATTTTAACCCCCAAAAAAAACTTTAAGCAAATAAATTTTATCCTGTCAAGTTCTCCAATCTTCAAAAACATACTAAATGAATGCTGACCTGATTTTTTTTTTTTTTCAGCAGCTAAGATTTCTAAAAACAGTGCAGATGTAAACCACATACCAGTTTGCATTGCCAAAACTTGATTATGATCACCTCACAATGTAAACAAACCAATTCAAACAAGTTAGATATCCCAAATAAATTTTCTTTGAGGAAAAATATATGGGATAATTACATACAGACCACCCGAAAAAGTGATATTTACAAATTAACCACCCAAGTGATTTTTTTGAAGAACCAAACCAAAGTATTTACACGTGCAACGATCAAACTATTGAGAATTTGATAAAAATGAAAAACATGGGTTCGGATTTTACCATAAATTTTTATATTTGAGTGAGAATTTGAAAAATGGATGAAATAGGGTGGTCAGTTGTAAATAGGAAGTTTTGGTTGTTCTGTACGTAATTGCACCAAAAGATATACTACTCTGTGCTTACTTTTACAATCTGACGGAGCAATTAAATATATAAATCCTAAACATTAAAAACTTCCATCCCAGAAAAAGATAGTTGCAAGGAAATACAGCTTCAAGTGTACAAATACCACGAATGAAATTTGCAATAAAAAAAAATCAAATATTTTCTACAGACAAGAACAAATAAGGTTGAAAAGAAAATTCAGTGATGCTGATTAACATAATCATCCTTGAAAAGAAACCTAAAACCAAATCATATGCAATAGGTTCAGTAAAAATCTGTTAAACACTTGAAGAAATATGCATGAAGAGGTTCGTGAAAACTAAACCGCTTTAGTACGATAAAGAAGCATAAATGAATTATAAAATGAAGAAAGAATAACTCCGAGATACTGCTCTCAACATAATCAACCGTTAAAAGGAACCTATATTCACATGAATCATTAGAGCTTAACTACCAAGATGAGAGACACTATGCAAAATATGCATGTTGTCGCTGACGGAAAAACAAAAAAAGAAGGAAAAAAAAAGGCTTGGTAAGGTTAAGAACAAGAGAAAACTACCTCTAGCAACAGATCCATTGGCCGCTTTCACAACCTCCACTTGCTTCTTGTCCGGTTTGACCTCAACGATCTCTTCCGCCGGAGCCTCCTTATTCAACTCAACCTTCTTGGCATCCACCGCATTCTCTGTTGCATCGGCCTGGTTTTGCAGATCCTTCGCAGCAGTCTTCGTTGCTCTCGCTGCCCCTTTTCTTCCCGGACCCGTCGCCTTCTTCACTACACGGGGAGGCATCTCTGGATCTAGCGAAAGGAGATGGAAGGATGAATCGACAATCTGGTACTGAAGCGAAACCCTAGCCCTGCGCCGCAAGAAAACCCTAGTTCCGTCCTGAAACCCTCGCCCTTGGGTTGCGAAGCTGTTAAGAAGTCGAGTGCGGCAACTAATTTACTTAAATACCCTCAATTGCAGGCCCAAAATAGAATATCACTCGGGGGCAAATAGGGCATGTATCTATCTATCGTGGCGTTCCGCAGAAAATGCCATTGTGGCGGTCCGTATATTATGCAACAACCTTTGATTTGCTCAAATATATATAAAATGTAGTAATTATTTTTATTTTTGTTTATTGTTCGATAAATATTCATACCACATTATAAAATGTTTGTTGCGATTTATAAAACGCTTATTACAATAAAATAAAGTAGTTTCTAGGCCATCCTCAAAAAAATAAAAATAATAAAAATAAGAGTGAATATTATTTATAAAATTAGGGTGATTCTTTGGGCTTCTTAAATTTTCACTAAAATATTAATTTTTAAAATAAAATATTAAACAATTAGTTTTTTTTTTATTAAATTCTCAATAATTTGATATTGACATGTATAAATATATCAATTTGATGAGTGTACATAAAAATATGTGTCAACATGAATCTAGAGGAAATCCATCAGACCAAAAGACATAAAAGTACAACTAGGGATGGCACATAGAAGAAGGACCAAAAGTCTAATCATTAGAAAATTAAAGGACTTGATTGACCGAGTGCAAATCCATTGGGGTGTCCATGCCTGAAGCCAACCAAATACGGGTCGTTTGGGCCAAAGACAAAAATCCATTAAGCTATGAAAGGTCATAAGTCTTACTCTCGCCTCAGTAGTGTCAGCCGCCTCATAAGAGCCTTCAATACTCATAATTATGAGACCAAAGCTTTTTTCAATATATTTTTCATGAACACCCCAAAAGGGTTTTTTCGTTAAAGAGTAAACTACCTTTCGGATTACGGTGATTCATCTTTTACTTGATAGCATAATCTCATATTGGCAACTGAAGCTCCTCATTCAGGTGTCGATAAGCGTCAGCTGGATCAAAGCAGTTGATAGGCAGACTCAAGCCGACCTAACCGAGTTTGAACGACCGAAGATCAATAAGAGCCGATTACAACCCTAATTCAAGTATACTCGGATGAATGAGACTTATTGAAAAAAAGCTCACAAATCTTAGAGATCACATAATCAATCCTTCGGCACATTCATGCAAATACCCAAAATACCATGTAACGCCCTCTTTAAAGAAGGGGTAAGCGTTAAATTATACACGTTGTACCTTCACTCTCTTATAAATAGGGGAATATTTCTTTAATAAAGGCTAATTAAGCACAAATAGGGGAATATTTCTTTAATAAAGGCTAATTAAACACAATTCCCTCATTTTATCAATCATTACTGTGCACTCTATTTCTCTCTCTCTCTCTCTCTCTCTTTCTCTCCCTCTCTTATTATATGTTATATTTCTTCGGTGTGACTCCAGGATAGATTCAAATTCAACATCTAAAATGGTGTGGTGAGTATGAATCATATCAGCAACAAGAAGAGAAGCACGGTAAGGAGAAAAAATGCATCAAAGAGATAGTGCAGACATGGAGTGCATAGAGGAGATTATGGAGCTTCAAATTTAGGAGTTCAGGGAACAAAAGTTGTATCGAATGGTAGAGACTATATGAGAATCCATGCCAAAAGAACAGAAAATATAAACCTCAAGACCAGAACCCTCGGGAGAAAGAGTCGGCGTCCAACGAAGAAAGACAATTCGAGGCTCATAAAGAGAAAAAGATTCCCAGTACCATGACAGTGTTGTGTTTGCATCGATTGACAAATAGCGGTCTAAGAGCATTGATGCCTCCTCTCCCCTCCATTAACACCCCCTCCCCCCTCCCCCGGGAGTAAAAATGAGCTGAACATGATTGAACAAATTCTTGTTTGTGTTTTAACTCGTCTATAAATCGAGCTAAATAAATTTGTTTATTTTCGGCTCGCTTATTTAATGAACAAATCAAACACGAGTTGTTCGCGAATAATAAGTTTTTTTTACAGTCATGCCTCGAAGCGTAGCACTCATCCACCTATCACTTTCACCAATGCAAACTTGCCTCCAACTAACTACTAAATATATAGTATTTTGATTGATAACGACATTTTTGTGAGCATATTATTCAAGTCAGTATTCGACAAGATGAATCTCAAAAACTAACTAGCTAGTGGCACCGACCGGTGAGCTCTACGACTTCCCCGACAAAAAGAAGGGGGCCCTGGGAGTAATTGCACAGTTAGTGATGGTGTCAGTTTTTTTTTTTTTTTTGACGTAGAGATTCATCTAATGAGCTAGTCACAAAAAACTCCGATCAGGAGAACTGTGTGTGTTCAGTTGCTTTTGTCTTGATGTAAGTGTATAAACGATTAAAACTTGAATGAGCCCAAGACTTGTGGATCTACCCTCAGTTGATTTAAAACATATTTTTTAAAATTAAGCTCTTATTTGAACTCCAATTAATACTCAAATTAAATTTTGAATTTTTTTTTTTTACTTCAACCATTTCCAAAAATATGTATGTATAGAAAAGTGGAGCAAAAAAGGAAATTACATAATCTTGTCTATTAATTTTATATTTATAGTGGATTCATAATAACATTTTCTTCAATCTACCGATGTGGGACAAATCAAAGAAGGTCCTACAGCAAGTCACACAGCAAGGTGTCTCTTAAGTATTTACATAAATAACACCCATTGGGGAAACTTTTTTTTTCCATTTACATGGATACCACCCAATTCTTACGTATTTATATATCCATCGGCTAAAATTTTGTTTTTTTTTTAATATGAGGGGAAATATTTAAATGCATACCACCCAATTATTATGTATTTACATTTATAAAATCTAAATATTATTTTTTATATTTATATCCAATATATAATTAAATTAACTTTTATATATTATTTATTTTTTTATTTCAAACAAAAACGAGTTGAATAATATCATACAAATTTTTATTTGTGTTCAACCAGTTTATAAATTGAGCAAAAAAAATTTTTTTGTTTTTAGCTCACTTGTTTAACGAGCAAATCGAACACGAGTTGTCCGCGAACAATAAGCTTTTTTCGGCAGTCGTGCCGCGAAGCGCATCACTCATCCACGTATCACGTTCACCAACGTAGACCAGCCTCCAAGAGGGAATCCTTAAAATGATGTTATCATCAACATATTGATGACAGACAACTACCAAATAGGTAGTATTTTAGTCGACACTCACAGATTTGTGAATATATTGTTCAAGTAAGTATTCCACAAAATGAGTCTCAAAACAAACAGCCGGTGGCACTAGCCGACACGCTCTACGACTTCTCCGACGAAAGGAAAGAGGGCCTAGGAGTAATTGCACAATCAGACACTTGGAGAGAAGGTGAAAAACAAATCACCTACACAGTGGACTTCCTGGTGGTAAATTCACAGTCAACTTACAATGTCATCTTCAATCTGCCATTGTCAAACGACTATAAAGTTGTGATCTCGATGTAGCACATAGTGGTGATGTTTGCTGACAATGGAGAGGTCATTACCATTCCGGGGAATCTGGAGCTGTCTCGGATCTGCAACATTTAGGCAATTGGAAATGTGGAATAAGAGTTGCTCGATCTCCAACACTAACACAAAGGGAGTCTAAATATCAGCAAAACCACTATTAAAAATCCATGCAGCTAACAGAGGACCCAAAAAATCTTTTATGATGTGAGAATTTTGATACATGATTTAAAGATTTGTTGATCCGAAGCCTTCATGAACACCGGTGTCTTTGCTTGGTCAGCAATAGAGATTTAAGGAATATCGTTCAATATCACTTGTCACCAACAAAACCGACCGAAGAAATAGAAGATAAGGTCTTCAGCAATGACTTTAGTCGGAAAAAATTTAGATGTGCAGTAAAGACTAAAGGAGCTTGGCTACATTCAAAGATACAATACTATACATAGGTGTCCAATATGGTGATGGCATAGAAAGTAAGCATCAAGTGGAAGATGAGTGTGGAGTTCATCAATTTGAACAAGGTGTGCCTGAAAGACACCTACCTCTACCAAGGATTGATATGTCGGTGGACACAACATTCAGTCATTCAACAATGAGCTTCCGGGATGCTTTTTTGGGCTACTACTAGATAAAGATACACTTGATCAATGCAGAGAAGACGACATTTATCATTGGTGAGGGTGTATATTGTTATAATGTAATGTTTTTTGGGCTTTAAAATGATGTAGTACTTACCACCACCTCATGGATGTAATATTTTTTTTTTAAAAAAAAGAAGGTAAATATGTTGATGTGTTTGTGATTGATGTGTTATTTAAAAGTCAGCCGGTCAAAGAACACATGAATGGCTTGAAATAAAATGTTTGAAAACCTTAGAAATATAACACAAGCTTAATCCTCTGAAATATCCTTTGGGGCGTCAACAAGAAAATTTCTCGATTATCTCATAACCATCAACGACATATAACAAATATGTGGAAAGTACATGCATGGATGAACATGTCTTCTCTTTGGAATACAAAGGAGGTGCAAAAGTTGACTGGTTGGATAGCGAGTCTGAGCTAGTTCATATCAAAGTCAGGCCATAAATGTGCATCACTCTTCAAAACTCCAAGGAAATAAAAAAAAATCTAAATGGTCAGATGACTGCAAGCGAGCATTTATGAAGCTAAAAGTATCAATGGCATCACCATCACTATTCCAAAGTCCAAATCTGAACACAAAACTCTCTTTTTATTTAGGAGCTAGGCCTGAAGTCATCAGCTCATCGCTATTTCAAGAGGAATTGGTAAAATAATTCCCAATCCACTACACTAGTCGTGTCCTCAGAGACATCGAGATCAGGTACCCGATCATGAAAAACTAATTTTTGCTCTAATTGTTTTCACTCACAGACTCCAGCCCTACTTTCTAAATGCTGTTGATCTAGATCTTTACTAAGTACCCTATGAAATCCATTATCACTTTGTCAGAGCATTCTAGCCAGCTCCTCAAATGAGATGTGGAGCTAAGAAAATTTGACATCTCTTATGTCAATCAAGGCATAAGCAATA